TTCGGCGGCAATGAATGTTCTTCTCCTTGAATACTTATTACTAAAAGTGAAGACCGGTCGTATTTGAGTTACTTCAAATCACGTCGTAATATAAAATTCTCGCTGAAGCTCTTGCTCAACATGGAAGAAACCACAAGAATTCGTATGTAACTTTCGTGGGTAAGGTCGCAGATATGCTGACCAAAGCATAGGTACTTATGGGAAGTGCCCAAAACAGTACTCGTGTATTCTAAATTCAGCCTCTTCACGAGTGTGGATTCGAGGCTTGCTATGCATTATCTCTCAGAACATTGTTAGAATCCAGACAACAACGGGTGTGCAGATTTGCGGGGTGATGTTCTATTTGTGTAAAGTATCGTTTATGTTTTGGAAGAGAGAATTGTTCTGGTACAATGCAAGTAGGGCAACAGTCATCTGTTTCTGTTGCTGCATCAGGTAGCAGCGAAATAGAGTCAGTGGCTGCAACTGGAGCATCAGCCGCTCCGAAAGGCAAAGCTATGTGCTTGTGATAAACTTTATTCGAACAACATTTGCGAGGCTCAACGGCTCAAAAGGGAGGAGTCTGTAGCTAACAGTAAGCCTGTGGTGGGGTCTCTTTCCAGATCAAACTGAGTCAAATCCCATTCGGCGAAAGAAATCTTTATTATTACTTTGCTTTCAACATCTTTCTCTGCCACAATCTCATTCCAAACTTTGCTTCATGGAACTCGTACTCAGCAATAAACCCTTTCTGTAAGATCTCAAGATCACCATTTCACCCGCGGAGTTTCTCCATTATATTTGAAAGATCCATATCAAAATGAACGCAATCCCATAATGTTGTTCACCAGGGTGCAATTGGAAGAGGGCAAGAAATGCTCATGTAGAAATATGTCAATCATTAACTGTCTAGTAGCTTGAGAAGTATCCCTGACGAATTGGAAGAAATCTTCAACCACAAGGTTTACTATTTCAACCGGATCTTCTGTCATTGATTCAGGTGAGCGGTACAAATCGTGCCTTGGGGGAAAGGCAGATCTAGATTGAATTGCTTTAATCCGTCATTGAATGCTACGTGTTCCTATCACAGGTTTCGATGCACGCGAGGGGACAAACACAACTAGTTCCAACTGAGAAATTAGGGCATGATTTTTTGACCCAATGTTCTTCAGTTTCTCACAATCATGTTTCATGAACAATCAGCTGCGAACAGATGCCCACTCTCGCTGTAGAATATGAAGGCAACTTCGTAGGATAGGGCACTGTCGTATAAGAGAATTCTTGATAGAAGACTTTGAGAATTGGAAATTCCTTCTTGAGAATCACTTGCAATCTCTATTTTAGATATAATCGCTCGCTAGAAACCCCGCAAGACGGGCAAAATCGCCATCGGTTCCATTTTCGTAATGGAAAATACCTCGTCCGCAATTTCATAGCCCTTCTATGGGCCAAAAAGATGCAGCATTGGACAGACTTCGTTCTGGTACTGGACATATACAATTCCTGCGATGGAAATATGCGGCGTAAACTCTTGCTACTGTTGCGTAGTTTTAAACTCAACATACTCAACAGCATATCTTCAGTATATCCATCCCATTCTCCATCCCATTCTCCATCCCCCAATTCTCACTAATATATACACACTTCCCCATTCAGCAACAATCTATCTTCTGCACTCTCCACAATCCTTGACATAGAAGAAATGCACAAAGCAGCCCGGATTCGCGGCCGTCTTTTAAATGTCCATCCATACCATTATCGTGAAACTCACCCGATTCTCCTATAACCCTAGCCCACTATCTGTAATCCCTTCCAATACTCAACATCTGGACCTACCAAATAACAAGACATTCAGCCCACAAAACTACAAAACCACAAAACCACAAGACAGCTACAGAATTTCAAAAATGCATCGGCAGCGGGGAGACAGTAATTATTGATCTTAGCTCCCACTTCATATCTAACCAGAACTCCCGTATCTCTCTCTCTCTCAAAGTATGTATACATCGCCCTACCAAAGCATGAAAAGCCATCCGACCGCTTCACAAAAGGTAAACCATGATCACGAGGGACAACTTAATGAAAATACCACAAACGCGTTGGATAACACACAAGATAAAAATTCCATCGAAATCATCGAGCACCTGGAGCTCTCTCCATTGAGTCCCTTCTATCTCTTACCAATACTGAGAGTCGTTGAAACTTATAAGTGCACACCACGGAGGTACAAATGCGTATTTGGAGACTAACAGGTTCACTGGTCCATCTTCTGACCCCTCCCACAATGCCCGTTACTATACATACAGCACATGCATCCGACAAGCGAAAGCGAAATAGGGGAAAGAAGGACGAAGAAGTCGATTTAAATGATAGAGAATTCAGATGACTCCTTACACAAAGGTCGACCCCACCCAAAGAGATTAACTGCAACTGTGAGTGGTTTGAATGTACACTTCTTTCCATTTAACTACCTACAGTTTCAAGTCAAATTCCTTATATTCATTATTAACTACCAATCTAAGACTCAGCGAATGCATAACCTTCATTCAATCTCCTACTATTGCCATCCATTTATTTAGCAAACCTTGCTCGTTTCGAGTGCCTTCATATCAAACTTGAAGTTCAGATAATTCTCCTTATTCCATGCAGACTTGACCTTAGCCTTTATGCTCCCTGAAAACTCCATTTCCTTAATGCTTGTGCATCGCCAAATTGCCATACAAAAAGAGGATATTTACAAAAGACTGTACCTCCATCTCCAGATACTCCATCAATCTGGAATTGCATTTACATTTTTCTTGATGACTATACCTTGTTAGTCATGTAGGTATTGAGTCGATTGAATTTACTTACATTCAAATACTGAGAAAAAAATCGAATTTACAACGCACGATCTGCCCATGGACACACCCAAGCCTCGGTACATTTTCTTGTCGAAAAATCTAATTTTTGGTGCCTTTTGAACGGTCTCGCCTTTGCAGCAAGTCAGGCAATTTCGCTGATAAATGCTTTTAGCAGAGTCGATTGGGTACTATTCATCGTTAGTTGCTTGGCTGACTCCACACGGATATGTTTCTTTCACGCACGATCAATGCCCAGCTCGCGACGCCGCAGAACCCGCCAGCGACAACGACAGCAAAGGGACTCGTTGAGCCTTTCGACCCTGTATAAGTAGTCAAGAGTTGCTTACAACTTTCGTAAGTCATAAAGTAAATAGCAGTTCCTAATGTATCCCGAACTGTATACGACGAGATTAGTCTGTGCCAGCAATCTTGGATTGGAGAATTGTCTCACGAAGGTGAAGGTTAAATCCAGAATAAAGGCCTGACACCCCACGATTCTTCACAATGTTCATAGCGGTTTTAAATGTTCCCTTGTCTTTATAGCTTGCTGCAGTCGCATTCTGCATAGCAGAATTTCTAACAGGATCAGAAAGGCTCGTTTGCCGTTTAGTAGCCATCAACACTGATACTTGAGCACTAAGCTTCGTCAACTCGAAGGGACCTAAATATTGTTAGAAATGTAAAAAAATAGTAATCAACTTAATCGATCCACCCACAAGCTACAAGCGTTATAAACGATCCAGCTGTGGCGCCAGCAGCTCCGAAACAAGCAATAGTTGAAAAGGTAGGATATGTTCCAAATGTATTGATATGCACCAATGGATCAAAGTCAAAATTTCTCTTGAACCAAGCTGCGTATGTGTACTTTGAGCGCTGATAGACCGAGAAAGATATTGTTCGGACCAGAGTTACTGAAGCTAAAGGTGCCGCAACACCACGAAAGAATCCTCGTAGTTTTTCCGTTTGATATGTCCGTCGGACACAATCCGTAAAGTTGTTATATTTGTATGTCTGCATTCGCGTTTTTACTGAGTCCAATGGAAACTACAAATAATCAGCGGCTGCATTGAACACATAGCACGGAGAAACTCACTGCGCAGAAAGTAGAACAGATGCTGCTGACAGACGCAGCAACTTCTGTTCGATATTGTTTCAGCCATTTCTTCTGTGCCTTCGATCTTTCTTGATGAAGAAGTAGTAGTTGTTGTTGGTTGATCATATCATGTTGACCAGGCTTAACAGGCATAATGGAAGGTATTGTTCGTAGCGAGCGCTGGAAGACAGTGATCAATCGACCAGAGTCCTCAACGCGATCGCGATAAGGGCGAATGCCAATGATCGTCCATGAGTCTTCTGTCGATTATAAAATCGAGCGGAAGAATTCACCTGCAAAATGTGGCAGCCGAAAGAAGATGGATAGTCTGGGGAAAGTGAATTCTTGCGAGAAGGCGGGGTTGAGAGATATATAATATATGGAGAATCGAGATACGGGTAGTGCGAAAGGAGGATGAGAGCCAACCAGAGGCGTCACAATGATTTGGCTTAGGAATCGATACTGAAGGACTTTCGTTCCAGTTACGTAGGCTTGGAAGTTGGTTTGGATTTGACGCAAATCATTTCTTCATTGGAGAAGTCAATGTCAGTTTGCAACCAGATCTCATGTTTTTGGAACTAATTCGCTAAAAGCGGTCTCCACTTTGTGCAGCTTGTCCGTACAATACAATACAATCTACGATACGATACGGAGTATCTAGGTACCGGTAGTCCTCTTCATGAGCACGATGAGCTTTTGAACAAAATCACCTACTACTCAAGTATTTGAGTACTTACTTCTCAAATACTACCTAAGGCGGTAACTATATTCAAAGAGGAAATCTATCACGATGGTCGTTTGCTTTCGAACAAAGAATCAACCCCCACTTGACTTGACGTATCATTTAATTCAAAGGAAAAGGGAACAAGAATGTAATGATGCATTGCAGCAAGGCCAGTTTAGATTGGGATCATTGAATTTGGATAAGCCCCGCAGTGATACCATTACCTTTCGATAAGGGGAAGGACACACGAGAGACAAAGTCCACCACCTGGGCGTTCATGGGCGTGCAGAGACGTTGACGACAGGGGGACATACACCAGCCACTCTCAAAATGAAGAAGAGCTGGAGTACCTAGGTATGAACAATTGGAAGTACTCATTATATTATTAGAGTCATGGTTATGGTTAAACACAGCACTTCGGTAGCTATCGGCTGAAATAGGGCGGCATCGAGTACTTAACCTCGGATACCATCAGGCTATTCATGATAGTCATCTGAAATGATCTCATCAATATCATTCGTCCTACACTATCGCTATAAGATAAGTCTGTGAGGCTGTAAGTAAGCCCTTGCCAACACTCCTTAAATATAGCTTGCGGACTTCATCTCCAAGTACAATCCCCCAACCATCGGTGACATCAGACAGTCATGGTATGGCCGTCGTCTACCATACGACCGACTGAGCCATGCGCTGATTATACTGTCGACACTCCCAATATCATTTATAGCTCTTGGTTATCGAGTGTTAAGGTATATGGCAACCATCCACTAGGCTCTACTTGCTGAGCGGCATTGAGATTTAGACTTTGGCTAAACGTACTGTATTCCGCAAAGGGATTCGTTCTAGAAACTGCTTTAGGATGATGTTAAGCGTGGAGTCATAAAGTCGATAAATTGCCTTTCTCTCTGGTATTTGTGATGCCCTTAACGTAAACACAGTCCCATACTTTCGTTAAGCATTTCAATAGTTTTGTCGTAATGTGTCATGCTGTTTTTCCTTAAATGTATCTGCATGGGGTGTCTTTCCCTGAGTTGCCTGCAAGAGGATCAGAATTGCAAGATCGATATCCGTATCTATACATTGAAGGAATATTTACGCTTTCCATTGAATCCCACGCTCGTACTTTACCCTCAATAGATTCTTGACCAATTTGTGCTCAAGGCCAGTTTCTTTCGCCGCAAGATTCAGAAATTTGATAGTATTGTCGATTCGTCCTTGATCAAAAGTTTTCGGATTTCCCTTGCGAAACTCGTCCCTCAGCATATTTCTCCCCATGTATCGTGCTGGCTTCGCATATTGTACAGCATGTAACAGAGCTCGGTAGAGACCTCGATAGGCGTATATATAATTCTTCTGTGTAGGTGACATAATCGTTTGAATGATCTTTTTGCGCAGGCGGTTTGGCTTTTGGCTTTTGTCTTTCGTTTGGCGCAATTCACAATTCACAATAAAATAAATTGATACCGGTACATCTGAAACTCCGATCGCATGTGAGAATCTTACGGGGCATGTTTCGGATGGTTCCGAGTAGCGCGTCATCGGCCTTGCCCCCAAAGTCAGACTAGACAATCTGATAATCTGATTCTATCCAAATTTGGACATTAAATATTAACTTATTCTTGACTTTCCGAACTTGCTATAAACAAAATTACAAAATAGTTTCATACGACCAGCGAATGTCACTAAATGACCTCTCTTGTTTCCGAGTTTTTGATTAATCCAGTTCTGAGACAGGCCAGACGGTTTTCACGATCCGATCCTGTTCGTGCCCACGACTCGAATGATACATTAAACACGCATCTCGTCCCAGGAAGCAGCAATAATGAGATTGACGAGACCGTCATAGAAGATGCGACGGCAATGGAGCCAACTATGAATCTGCCGGATACGAGAGAGTTTGTAGGCGTCGGTGGCATAACTGGGAGTTCTCCGAATCAAAATTCAACTCATGAAGGAAGTTCGTCGGGCGATATTGAGAGCCTTCGACATGATGCCAACCATGACGATACTGATGCGTTGGCAACCTCTCATTCATATTCGAATATAAGTCCAGTTGACAATAACATGACTGATAACACTTCTTCCAGAGAAGCATCCCTGACTCAGGGCAACATCACAGAAGGATCATCTAGCAATGCCGCTCTCAACGCCGTCAATTTCCCTATGAGTTCTGTCGAAGGTTCATCTCAAGACTCAAGTCAAAATTCCACTCCGGCTTCAACGGTACTTGATACAGGAAGTACTGCTCTTCCTGCGGATGATGGCATGGGTCCTCTTCGACAACGCATCATATATATACAAGCTATGGACATTCCCACAGAACGAAAAGCATTATTGATGCATCAACTTTTGACTCAAAGTTACACTGAGGCTCATGAAATATTTAATGCGAAGAATCTTGTACCAACCACGGCCGCGGACAAAATGATCAGCCAGGAAAGACCTGTGACTCCAAACTCATTGAGCTCTTTTATCTGGCAAATGAATGGTACTTTGGACCAAGCACCGGCAACTGAAATTCATACTTTCCACCTCTCTCCGGATGACTTGATGAAGACTTATGCACCTCTTGATCCTCCTGAGGTTGACGATGGAAGCGAAGAATCTGAGAATACGGAAGATTCTACGCCCAAGCTCGGATGCAAACATTACAAGAGGAATGTGAAGCTACAGTGCTCTACGTGCGATCGATGGTATACATGCCGGCTGTGTCATGACGAGGTCGAAGACCATATCTTAATTCGCCATGATACTAAAAATATGCTATGTATGATATGTGGTTGTGCTCAGCGGGCCGGGGAATTTTGTGTTGAATGTGGAGAGAGGACTGCTTGGTATTATTGTGGGGTGTGTAAGTTGTGGGACAATGACTCCAATAAAAGCATCTATCATTGCAATGATTGTGGAATATGCAGAAAGGGTCGTGGTCTGGGCAAAGATTTCTTTCATTGCAAGGTAAAGTCTACCCTTGCCAAACAATCAATTTACATTCTGCTCACAGTATCATCAGACCTGCGGCGTGTGCATGTCTATGTCACTTATGGATGACCATAAATGCATTGAAAGGGTATCTGATTGCGATTGTCCTATTTGTGGAGAGTACATGTTCACATCACCAAAACCCGTTGTGTTCATGATATGTGGTCACAGCATTCACTCAGCTTGTTACATCGAGCACATGCAAACTTCGTACAAGTGCCCGATATGTAGCAAGAGTGTCGTTGGGATGGAGACACAATTTCGGAATCTCGATCGAGCCATTGACAACCAACCCATGCCGCCTCAATTTCAAAATACTTTGGCGATGGTTTCGTGCAATGATTGTTATGCTAAAAGTGCGGTGAAATACCACTGGTTGGGACTGAAATGTGCCATTTGTGATTCATATAATACAGCTCAATTGTCAATCTTGAGTGACCCAGATGTCGAGACTTCGGTCACAGGAGCAGGGGATGGACAGAACGACATGTCAACAGGCCAGGAACAACAAATGTCTTCATCTACACATTTGATACCTGGTGCTCCTAGGAACCGCAGACATTCTTCTCATATACTCTCCTCTTCATCACAAGCAGAATCCGGTCGATTTTCTCCATGTCCAGTACCGTCCCGGCTAGGAAGATCAGTATCGCCTGCTCGAGGAATACACTTGTTCAATAACGAATCGGCGGCTGGGGGCGAAAGTGATGGCTCTGGAGATGAAGATGATTTAGATTTCTGGGGAAGAGACGAACCACGAAGCGGTAGGTTGTTACCAGCGACACAAAACGCAGATGCACAAGATGATTATGATATTGAATATGAAGATGATTCCAGTGACTCGGAATCTGGAAATGATGATGACGAAGACGACGACGGTGAAGAGGAACCTTTTGCCATTTTTGGACACCGTTGACACTTGCATGGATTAGTAATGAAAAAAACTTGCATTTTTGGGCGTTGATTTTAGCGCTACAGCATTGTATGACAAGATTTTGGAGGGAGGGTTGGAAGGCGTACTGGATATTCTTCTGGACATGGGTAGGCAGGGAAGAAGGTTGATATATGTATACCTACCTTGTAGTTATATGGAGTAGTGAAATTATTGATTCCTCAATCGTTTACCTTGATCAGCTCTTTGATGATCCTCGTTCCTATTGCTTATGGTGTAACAAGGGCCATTTCTAAGATTTTCAAAGCTCGTCTTGATGCCCATTTGCCATTAATGTCTAGATTACACTCCACCTCCTATAACTTGCAGCTTCCTGAGATTGCTTTAGTCTCACCATGCACTCAAACACCGGCGCCTTCATCGCATCACCACTATCTAATGAAGTTCCAACGGTCTTTTCGTCTAGCCTTTGTCAATGAGGATCGTGGCTGCAAGTCTGGCTATCAAACCGTCTTGGTCGAGAAATCAAGTACTGCCATACCTAAACCACTATACAAATCCTCCCCGCCCACGTACCAAACTCCCAGATTCATGCATTGTATCTCCCGTAACGCCTCGGTATATCCTCGCAAACGCCTTCCATCAAACGCACACAAAAGAAGAGCATGTTGAAAATTCCATAGCATAAGCTCCCTGCCCCAAACCCCTTCCTGGTAACTGCACATTCATTCACCATTGCGAACACCCCCCTCGGCAATCTGTCTTCGTACTTCGTCTGCGTCTTTTTTGAGTTCTCTGACTACTGTCTTTTTGGTGGATGTTTGTTAGCTTCTCTTCTCGTGGTTTGTGATACTGTTTTACTGCATCGTTCTCAACCATTTCGCTCAGAATATTGCTTCTGGTGTCCCTTCCATCCATCGCCCATCCATTTCCTTATACACTCCCCCTCTACCTCCCGACCCCAATTCCCACAAAAAGAAGCTCTAGAATCCGCCAATAAGAGAAAGACTCACAGCAAGCGCCTCGGGATTAATCCCATTCTCAATAAGACTTATGCAAATACTCAAGGTTCCGCGATCAAGCTCTGCATTCTATTACGCGTTAGCATAAGTTCCCCTCTCTATTGTCTTTCCCTTAATCTTCCTCGTCCCTTCTATTCCCCATCCCGTCTCTTTCTTGTAGTCCTATTTCTCTACTCTCCCTTTCCTCCCCCCTCCCATAACAAGAAACGCCGAGTGCCAAAAGGAGAACCTACAAGTAGCGTGGAAATCTCATGAAAAACATCGATAACCTGACGAGCCTGTGCCGCACTGGTAGCTTTATCGGGCTTTTGGGATGTGTCTGCCATTTTGGGTTTGTATGGTTGTGTTCGTGGTGTCGCGTCTGTTCTTTATTTTTGGGCGGAGGTGGATTGCGGAGGTTTGGAGATAAGAAAAATTGGGTTTGGGTACGGTGGTGAAGGTATTTGGCTGGATGAAACCGTAATTATTTGTGTATTACGTAGAATTATGTCGACATCAGACTTCTTATCTTTATTTATGGGTAAAAGCTTGAATTATGAGGAAGTCTAATGCAAGATGTTAGGAGGATATAGGTTCTAAAATCAAGCGGCGCAAATACTGCTGGAGTAGTCTCATCTGAAAGAATGTAATTCGAGCAACGTCGAAAACAGTACAAAGTAATAATATTCAAAATCAAAACGTCATTATCATTAGATCACCCCAAATATCAACCTTTTGCAATACCTCCCCGAACTCTACACTCTCCGCCCTCAATTTTTTACAGCTTCGACGAACAGTTCTCTCATACCCTTCAACAATACACGCAAATCACGGGTTTCGTTCAACTTGTCCACCACCCTTTCAATCTGCTCTTTTTCCAATTTTGGCTTGCAGTACGGAATATCATAGTCCCTCTTCGAAGTATCAAGCTCAAACCAGGCCTCTCTATCATAATCATTCTCGTCAAAATTCGTGAAAATAAACTTCAACCGATCATTTTGCCCCGCTCCCTCAATCATAAGTCCCAAATTCGAAATCCAGAAGTCGAGTTCTGGAACGTTAAATCGAGCTTGTTTATCGATGTATTGAGCATGGGATTTCTGCGCAGCAAGTCGTCCATTTATAGCCTTTTGTGTTTCGGCGATCTGGGCTTTCAATGCTTCACGTGTTGCAAGTTGGGCATCACGTTGAGCGCTCAGTGATGCGATCGCTGCTTGCATTTCGGCGGTTTCGGCGGCCTCTTTCGCGAGGGTTTGTTGATGTGTACTACTCTTCGACGACAAGACTTCAATATCTCTTTTCTTCATACGTTGATCCTCTAATATATATTAGCTGAATGCGCAGCGCATTGGATAAATGGCTCTCTTTCGTACCAATTAGTTCAGTTACATTCATGCGGAATTGGTTTCTTTCTTCCAACACGCGCTTTCTTCCTTGCTCTATAAAGGCATCGAATTTGACTGTAAACTTTGCCATCCTGTCGCGCAATTCATCGAAGCCAAAATTAATACTTGGAAGTGTATCTGCCATTGACGGGGCATCGGCTGAAGACAAAGGTGGTCGCATCATACTGCTAGACATGCTGGTCGACAGCGAAGGCTCGAACATTGTCGACATTGTATCGTGATAATTAAAATGCTGTGGTATACGAACTGTGATTTGGGAGTCGAAGTGATATAATGATCGCTGATAAACTTCGTGGGGTTGATCGAGTGTCAAGGTACGATTTCACAGGTATGGGTGTGGTGGTGATAAGGAATGCAAAAATGTAAAACCAGAAATGGGAACGAAATGTTGATTTCCGATAAGCGGGTTGGCAAGGAAACCAAATATTTTAAGGTCCGGCACTATTTTGCGGTGGAGCCAATCCGACATAATCGCGGTCTCGAAAAAAATGAATAATTTATCATTTAATTTTTACCTGACCAGCCTTTTTTTGCTTTTCACTTTTATGACAGAAATCTGACCCCTTCATTCATTTCACACCTCACTCTTGATTCTCAAAATCGCTTCTCCATAAGTTTGCGAAAATACGATGATTGGAAGGGTTTATTGTGCAAACAGAAGTCCGCGAAAACCAAATGACTGACCACAGGGCAACCGACCTGGTACATGGTCATCTTGGTGAATTCTCTTACGATATTAATGAAGACCAATGGTCCTTTTCGCAAGATGTTAGCAGAGGTAGGTTTGGGAATTTGTTTCAATTGAACACTTACTCACTCGTTTGCGCAGTTCATCGATTTCAGCAACTCCTTCCATCCACACAATGCATTCCTCCCTCGATTCGAGATATACCAGGAAACGGAAAAGTAGGCTCGAAGATTGCTCGAACTCAACAGAGATGGCTCGCAAAGAAGCGGCCCGAAACATTTCCTGGGGGAAGTCTTGCTACAACCTTGTCCAAAGATACCTTTGATGCGACACTGAATCGATTCAAGACGAGTACATTGATGGCAATTGGAGGTGCTGCGGATATCAATCACACCTCTGGTTCCAAAATTGCATTCATACTAGCGATTCCATGTGGTGAGGCCGGCCATATTCTGAAACTAGTCAAACCTCGCCTAGAGAAACTTGGATGGGAGTCGCAAAATGGGGTCCGACTATCTTACATGAGTGCTACCAATACAGATCAAGGACATTGGTTTGGTGCTGGGGGGACGATTTTACAGATTGCCTCTGTCGACGATGGCAATGAGCTTAGTACCTGGTTCGCTGTTAGACAGGCAGCCATGACGACAATTTTCAGACCTGTCTTTCGAAATACCCCCAAACCTTTCATAGCCCCCACTGGGCACATTACTACATATCCTCCATCCTGTCTAGATCCCAATCCTGTCGCAACTTTAACTTGCCAGCAGTCTGGATCAGAGGAACATGTGGATGTCAGTTTTAACCCGTGGTACGCTCGACAGTTTGCAATTGTGGACCGCGCTGGTCAATGGAGTAGTTGGGACATTGAAGGTCGACAAAAGAAACGCTCAGCTTTTGAAATCGTGCCAGGGAAGAAGGGGCATATTTACGACGATTTTGGCGAAGATCCTGCTATTCCGACATACAAATTACCTGGAAACGTTGGCGACTGGCACCGAGTCCTCTGGGCAGGTAGCGTGAGCACTATGATAGTCGCAAATAGAAAGCATCTTGCAATTTTTGATACGAAATCTAAGCCAACACGGCTACCCTCTTATTCACTTAATACTTTACTGCTAAAAGATTGGATACTGGACATCAAGCGTAGTATGGTTGATCTTTCACATTTGTTTGTTTTGACTACAACTCGGGTTTTCTGGCTAAAAGTCATACCGACTGGCGAGGATGGCCTGAACAAGGATTCTGGAGTCAAGATTATTCTCTCGCATCGCCACTACAGAACTCCAACCGACGAGACAATGAAATTGACAATGTCTAAGGACGAGAATGGAACGGACTTGACAGTATTTATTTCATCTAGCGAAAATTCACGTTTGAATTCCTACACATTTTTTATGGATGGGAAAAGCCCAAGGACTTTTGAGGGAGGATTTAGGCTGTCCCCTGGGATAAGCGAGGAAAAGACCCTCAAGGCCGAGAGTATCTCTATACGTTCTGCCTCTTATCTGATACCCAGAGACTTCGCTGAGGGAATGGGATCAGACTTCATGGAAACAGGAGTGAAATTTCACCAGACGTGGATGCTCACGCCAAATCTTGAGCTGGTATCTTCCCTGTGGGCATCTGAGATTCTCGATTCTGAAAAGAAATGGACTTCAAGGCCCATCTTATTTGCGCCGATGCACAAAATTGCGGATAATGCTATCCGCATGACAGCTAGCCGTCTTACAGATGACTTCATTGTTCCTGACGAGGAAGATGAAGATGCCTTAGTGGATCAGATGAACTCCCTAACAACACAAAATGACCAGGTTTCATCAAAAATAAATAAAGCCTCCACAGATCTGCTTCTTAGAATCAACATGCAACCGGTATTTCAACGAATATTCAACAAGCCAATGTCCAGTGATTCGAACACTGACATGGAAACGGCATTCCGAGATATATCAATTCAAATGCAAAATGGCAAGCAAATGGATAGCATGCCATTGAAAACTTGTCTCGAGCTATCGAATAATGCATCTCCTTCAGGTGATCTCGACGAGGCAGCCAAAACTGTGACCGAGTTTCTGGATTTCATGAATACCTTTGATGAGGGCGAAGAGGAATCATCTTCCAAATTTCGCATCTCAAAATTTATATCTTGTCCCGGAATGACTTTCTCTGAAGAACAAACATCCAATGATGCATGTCCTAATCTACTGCAAATTTATGATCAACTAATCAATGTCTGGGTAACAAACCTCCCTCGCAAGACTCCTGGGCCAGTTCGTTTGGAAAAAGCGAGATCAATACGCAGGATCGCTATGGAAATATGGCTGAGCTCTGTTGGTATTTCGCTACGAAATGAACAATTCGACCCGAGACCTCCACCAGCCTTTGAGGATGAAACCTCAATGCATATATTGAAGGATATTGACGAAGTCTCAAGGGCCAGTTCACCTCCATATTTCAGTTCCCAGGTTCATTCTCGAGCAATAGAGAACCCCCAATTCAGCTTGCCCACGCCCACTCCTTCAGTGATATCTGCCCCTGCAGTCGTTCAGGATCCTACAATTTCGCGACTTCGCCAGTATGCTGTTAGTATCGAACCGAAGATAGAATTTGGTGCGGCAAGAGCCTCACTATTGTCCCAATGGCCATCTGTCCCAGGCGCAAACCCAGCCAAATACTCCTGGGAGGAGGTCCAGAGAGCCGCACTTGCGGAAGAGAGTGGGGATGACGATTACCGTAGTCGACGAGAAAACGCTCGGCGTAAACGAAGAGCAGAAAGGTTCTTGAGTCGAGATCGTGCGAATGCAGCCGCATCTTCATCTCAAGCTATGGCTCAACCATTTGGCAGTCAACCAGCTGGTTACAACACTTACAGCTCACAGCCTGTTAATGACTTACCAATGACTCAACCGAGTAAGGGAGCTTTCGGTAGCCGCATGACTGTACTCGCTACTCCTGGAAAGAAAAAGTCTAAGAAGCGTAGGGCAGCAGGTTTTTAGATTAGAAGTTGGAGTATGCTTTTAGACTATTTCGGTGACTTTTACTAGGCTCGAATTTTAGGACAAGGATGCTTGGATTCTGCAATGTGAGATTTGGACACAGTTCAAAGGATCTATCTTGTATTACTTGTGTGATGATTAAAGTAGTTTATGTTAAAGTATCTGTATATACCTCTCAAGTACGGATGTTTCAATTTAGTTTTAGCACCTGAAGAGCCATAGTAAACTTCTCAACGACTACATGTCACTACCCGTCAACAAGATATTTTTAAGAAACTTGGACCCAGTGATTGGTGAATTTCCCTCTAATGATTTTGCCGCCAGTGAGCAAACAGAGGAAATAACTTTTTCGCGGCCCAACTCAGAACCCGACACAAAATCCTTTTAATTTTTCGAAGTTCAGCAAACATTAAAAAACGTAATAAATATGTCTAGTCACTGTCATGATGAGCATGACCATGGTCACGGCGGGCATTCTCACGAAGGTCACGATCATTCTGATGATATCACCCCCGCACTTCAATACTCACTCTACCAACACATCAAATTTGACGACATAACCACACTAAATGAGGCCACTCCTGGTTCTGGAAAATCCATTGTGAAGAAAACATGGGATGAACGAATGAATGAGCAACCAGAGCTCGAGAGCGATGCCGATGAACAACTGTTGATACATATCCCGTTTGTTTACCCCGCCATTTTACCCCTCCAAATCACCTTCCATTACGATGGTAGCTAACATATACATCCCAATACAATAGGTTTACCGGCCAAGTAAAACTCCACTCGATTCTGATCCGCACGTCAAACTCTGAATCCGCACCTAAGACCCTTAAAGTGTTTATCAATCGCGACGATATTGATTTCAGCACCGCGTCAGAGCTACGGCCCACGCAGGAATTCGAACTAAGTCAAACATCTGAGATTCAGGACATAGGGGTCAAGAGGGCCTTGTTCGGAAAAATACAAAATCTGACGCTGTTTGTGGAGGATAATCATGGAGAGGATATAAGTCGTATTTGTTACATGGGCTTCAAGGGCGATTGGATGCAATTGGGGAAGGCGCCTACGAATATCATATATGAGGCTGCGGCAAATCCAAACGATCACAAGGTCAAGGGCACAAGTTTGAATCAGATGGGTAGCAACATTGGTCAGTGAAGGATGTCACGATAGTGTTCTGGCTGAGTGAGAGTGCGCGTCTTGGTAGAAGGTTTGGTACGCGGTAAAACCAGAAAGTGGAAGAAGAGTCTAGCTGAAGATAACGGGACCAGAAAATCTCCACGGACACGGATATTAGAGACCAGAGAATGGGGTCACAAAAAGTGCTTTTGACAATTGAAGATGCGAACATCATTTTTCATGGGTTTTATTTCTAGGAGATCCATGGTATCTCTTTTATCATATCGTTTCAGAAGCTCAATGATACCCAATACAGCAAGTTACATGAAATCATCTAAGAAATCTTCACCTCTATCTTGATTATTCGCCTCTTCATCATCATCCTGAACGAATAAATCATCATAGGCATGATCCTTTTGCCACTTTTTATCCTTATACTCCTGAGCCTGTCTCGCTTCTTGTTTTCTCTATCCCCAGATTAGCATGTTTGAATGTCAGAATGCACACTACGTACCCGTTCCAACAAAGCAGCTTGATCCTTCTTTCTCGCAGCCTTCATTTTTTCTTCCTTCTCCATTGCCAAATCTGGGAACTTTTCAACCTTGGTCTTGTTCAACCGATTGACAATTGGGTTCTCCCTGGCGGGAACCAAAATTCTTTTAACCTAATACCGCAAATCTCAACATCACATCATAAATTGAGATATGAAATTTAAAAAGAGCCGAATGAAGTACTCACAGTCTTCTGATTCTTGAAACTAACTTGTCCCACCGCCATACTTCCATCTTTCTTCAAATTGGACCATGGTGTGTAGATGATTGTAATATTATCCTTCTTATTTCCTAACCCAAAACCATCAACTCACATGTACTCATAACACTCTCCTTCTCCCTACTTAAACTCTCAGTACCACCTACCTTCAATAGAATTTGCTTTGGTCAGTTGAGCACAATCCATCAGTAATTCCTCCGGAATAGACTCCCACGAGTCTCCCTCATTCGTTCGAAGATAAATATGCGCACTCGACAACTTGTCTACGTGAAACCATACATCTTCTTCTAGTCCATGCTTGATGAGATCTTCATCTGTGGGTTGCGTCAACATGCGTTTTTTGACTTTCAATCAATGGGAATTATTTCTTACTTTCGAATTTATCTTTTCCAGCATAGATGTAAGCCGATGGCGAAACAGTGTTAGAGGTATAATAATACACCATTTTGTTATATTGTAAATCTTTCCATAAAGTGGTGCTATTAAACTAGGGACTAGGTAATTAATGTCAAGGCTGAAGTTATCGGTGTTTGAATTCTGATATTGACCGCACTCCCGACTCGTTTCGGTCTCCGTATAAAGATTTTCTCCCCTCCCCATCCATAACCAAATCTCCAAGTAAGCTCCCACCCCAATCCAAACAACATGGCACCCAAACTCCCCACCAGCTGGGCGCAAATTCCGCCCTCCTTTCTCCTCCCCGAATCTCTCCTCCCTCTCATAACCAAACGTGGTGTAAAATATGGCTGGACAACCGCCCCTCCTCGCTCCCACCCCGAACGCTTTAACCAGCAAACTGCTGGATTGCCCATCCTCTCCGCCTCCTCCACCGCTGCTCTCGCCCGCAAAGACTTTACTCTCCCATTACGCACGGGTGCCCTCGGTATCAAAAAAGGCATGACCGCCCTCTACGACCCCGAAACCGGCGTTCGCACACCCTGCACCGTTGTGCAACTCGATCGCGTGCAAGTCGTTGCTCACAAAACCCGAGAAAAGAACGGCTATTATGCGGTACAAGTTGGTGCTGGCTGGAAACACCCTAGCAATGTTACGAGGCCCGAATTGGGACATTATGAAAAGAGTCAGGTTGCGCCTAAGAGGCATATGGCCGAGTTTCGTGTGAAGAATGAGAGTGGATTACTAGATGTTGGAAGGAGCATTGGAGCAGAATGGTTCATAGAGGGACAGTTTGTGGATGCGAGGGCGAATAGTAGGGGAATGGGATTTGCAGGAGGAATGAAAAAATGGGGATGGAGTGGTCAACCGGCTAGTCACGGTAACTCTAAGAATCACAGGACGATGGGTAGTGCAGGTGCAAGTCAGGGAAGTGGTTCGAGAGTTCACCCAGGAAAGAGGATGGCGGGGCGAATGGGAAACCATCAGGTTACGATTCAGAACGTTAAGGTGTTGAAGGTGGATGCTGAGAAGGGTTTGGTCCTTTTGAATGGATGTATTGCGGGCCCAGATGGATGTGTGGTGAAGATTCAAGATGCCATCAAGAAGCCATGGCCAAAGGTAGCATCGATACCCGCTTTGTTGGAAGAAGTTAAGGAATCAGCGACAACAGCTGCTACTGCGGCATGAGTTGAATGTTTTTACATTGTAATATTTGTATGAATACATGGCATATACAGGCGTTTCAGACCTGAACCTATAATGCCAACCCAATACCCTTTTCCCTGCAGCTGTTAAGTCTATCCTCATCGTCTTGACACATCCAGATTTGCTTATACATGCGCTCGGTGCATGACTAATAGCCATCTTCATAACTGACTGGAGCCAACCAAAGTTCTTTCCCCTCAATTTACGAGATCCCTATACTCTCTCAAAACTCTTTCATCTCTCAATTTCACTCAAACCACAGCCCAACCTCTATCCTGACAAAGTGGGCGCATAACTTCCTCTGCCTGGTTCCGCTGACCTCTCCTCCACATCCTCAATTCCCTTAAACGGATCCGCACCATCCAAAAGATCAATCTTAACCTTTTCCTCCCCCTCCCCCTCCCCGCCCTCCAAACTCCACTCGGTCGTCTCAAACATGCCCTGTCTTGTGGCTCTATGACTCGTAAACTTCATTGTTCCACTCCTCTTCGTTCCCTTAACCTCAAACTGAATATCAATCCTGCCATGCAATTGATTCATTTCTCCCCAGATCCACGGCATCTTATGCGCAAAATAAATCTCGTCGCCAAGGAACTCACGCGCTTTGGGTGATGTGCGCAGGGCGTAGAGAGTGGATGATACAACGGAAGACGAGGACTTTTGGTAGTTGAAAATGGCGAGAGTACTGGAGATTAGGACGACGAGGAATATGGGGATAGATCTGACCCATTTCATGCCATTTTCAGGAATGTCTGAGATTTTCTGTCAGTATTCTTCTTAGTTGTTACTCTGGTCATGCAAAGGTACCAGGTAATTCTCGATCCCCTCTCCTCTCCATCAATGGACCATCTCCAACTTTTGGCGCTGCAACTAGCGTTCTCCTTTGGACAAGATTTCTCGTATTGTTTATGTTGCTTACTCTCAACCTAGGCAAAACCCTCGAGCTTCGTAGTAATCGTGGTAACATTTTGTGTATGGTGTATGGCATTGACGTTAATAACAATTGCTCGCAAATGGAGGGGAGCTTTGAATTAATCGTGCGATTCGAACTGACCCGCTAAAAAGTTTAGTGTGGCGCAAATGCGAGGCTGACAGCTAAGCATGTGCAAGGCTCCAGCACCAGCTTCATCTTTTATCTCGACAGTTTGTTTGATATTCGATCAAGATCTTCTACAACAAATTTGCATTTAAACCTACTGCAAGAATGGAGCAAACCACTTCTCGTCTACGCAAGACATTTCGATATCCCACAGATAACGACTCCGATGACTCGTTACCCGAAGCTCTTGACGAAGAAGGTATGCTTGACCCCGCGGTTCGTCTCTTAACATATTATAATTAATCCTCTCTCTTTCTAGAACAAGACAACCTAATTCAACATCTTGCGACGCTTCATACAAAATACAATACCATCTACACGCGATTCCTTCTCTGTCTCCCTCTGATAAGCATTATCCCCTACCTCCTTACCCTCTTCACTCCAACTACCTCTCTCCTCAGCATTCTCTCCATCACCTCGCTCCTATCTACCGCTTTCCTCATTTACTCTTTGCCTCCCGAGAAAACTTCGATTTCTTTCCTCGATAACATCAACCAGCGATCTAAAGATTCCCCTCGGTCGAAGATAGGAGTGCTGGGAGCAAATAGCGTCGACGATGGACCACTCCAAACCTACCTCCCGATCCTCAATCTCGTCCTCAGTCTTATACTGGGGATTCTTGGGACAATTATCAAGTCTAAGCACCAACCTAAATCCAGAATGTCCGAAGCAGAAACCAATGTATGGTGGACTGGGTTCGAATGGTTACCCCTGGGGATTTACGCCGTGGTACTCTTAGCGAAAACCGTAATGGGAAGCGTAAACCCTGAAGAAGAGCTGGGGAGTTTGAGATATGGATACAAGGGAGCTTGAAGAGTGTTGCTAATCTCCGACATTGTTCTCAATACTTATTTTCCATCCTTTTTCTCCCTTCAAATTTTGATACTGTTCTCCCCTGCATACCTGAATTTCGGTTGAGATGTCAAGCTGTACAGCGACAACAATCCCCTCAAAAGACCAAGCGAATCCTCAAAAGATTGTCGATTTCAGTATCAAGAATTGAATGCCTCCCATCATCCATCAACTCGTTCCACCCAATATCTCTAACCATCTCATTCCTTCTACGAAATGGCGAGCTCACGAACATGTAAACTACAAGCTCAGGGCCCAAAATTCAATGGATCAGAGAGAAGCGCATAATGAAGCAACAAACATACCTACCCATTTTTCATGCAATATTGCATATCAGAAGAACGCTGCGGATAAAGCGCTCTACTGCCTTTCACTTGCAGAGCTGAGCTGCTAGAGAGAAGGAAAGTAGAAGTTCGGGTGACTCCTAGTTTTTGGAAGCGAACAGCGAGTTATTTGCTTGGTATACGGGTTCGGGTGTCTTTCTCAAAGGATTCTCGGCTAGAAGTGTTATAGTGAGGGAAGTTTGGGAGGGAAGGGGGCGTGAATGGGACAGTACAGATTGGGTCTAGATGAATGGAGGGTTAACAGGGGATATTTAGGCGAGATGAAAAGTCCGGATGAGAAGATGAATGAGGGAAAGATAATAAATACAGTTAGGTTTGTGGATTATGAGAGAATGAGAGAATGATTATTCACAGACATCGTGTGTAGCTAGAATTTGTAGCCATAACTATCCAATTCTTCTATATATCTACAAGCATATACGAAATCGAGTGCTGCCACGAAGTACTATGACTCAATATTCCAGTTTTTTTTTCCTTCTTTCGATTTTTGCAATTCAATTCTTCCCATCAAAGCTAACTTGCTCCCGCTCATAATCCCCAGCAATCCCATCGTCTAAGCTACGTTACCCAGCCACCTACATATCAATACTTTCATTAAATCTCAACACGCCGTTTGCTTTCAGGACCCCATCAACCCCATCGGGCAAACGTGGGAACGGATCACTAAATAATCTCTTTTCATCGACTGGTTCTGCGGATTTATCAATCACCAAAACAAGTCCTTGTGATTTTATGGCTTCTATCAATGCTGGTACCATATCCTAATTTTGTGTTAATTAATGATTCTTCACGTGAATAAAAGCAAAGAAACACGAGATGGAATTTTGTAGGTGAGGCGGATTTCTCCAGGAGACAAGACATACCAAAAGTCTAGAACAGCAAATCAAGCCCATGAAATTATTGTTCTTTGCAACTCTAACCGATTCTTTGATAGAAGTAGTTCTCCTTCCACTAATTTCTACTCCTAGTTGTTGACCTGGTTCCCCTTCGCGACCCAGATCGTTGCATAAGAAAACCGGGTAATTAGGTTGTTTCCAATTTAGAGTCGTGCAGATGGTATGGTTGTATGAGCTAAAAACAATCGATCTCATTGCATCTGGGGATTGTTCTCGGAGAGTTCTTGCGTGGTCAAAAACCACTCTGAGAATGGCGTCACCAAATGCATTGATGTTTACCGTCGGGCTAAGCTGCATGACTTTCTCATCTTCCAAGGTTGGATATAGGATTTGTAAGTTAGCATGCATACCTTTTGGGAGTAGAGAAAGCGCATCTTCCAGTGATACAGTCGATGCTGCAAGTATATCATGGATTTCGGTAATGTTTGCTAAAGGCATTCCAGGTAAAGCAGATAAATCCCTAGTTGATTTTCTTTGGGCTGATCCTGCACTTAAAAATTGCGCATAGGTCAGGCGGCAGACTGGAAATTCGATATCATTATAGGTAATGTTCCAGCGGGGCCAAAGAACTGGGACTCCATCACAAGTATGTTGAACGAAAAGTTGTATATAATCTCCAGATAAACTAGATCCGGTGATGAAAGCACTTGGCCTGGAATCGAATTGGCTCGTAGCTTTCCAGTACGTTTCAAAATCGGTGATTTCCAGTGGCTTTCCTTGAAATGGTTTGATTACTTGGAAATTAAAAGTAATTTGTCCAATAGCCCTTAAACGTGGATCAAATAGTGGCAAGCAACAACGGCCGGAACTGCTTTCTAGTGCTCGAAATGTGCTAGGTAATGCGACTGTCTTTGCAATGACTTTAGCACCGTATGTGGGAAAAACATCGAAATCGATGGCGAAAGAATCTAAATTATCAATTTGAAATGAAACAAGTCGGGTATCTTCCTGGAATGGGAGTAAAATGTTTTTGGGTATCAAGTCCGAAAGTTTGGAGGAAATAGTAAGACGCGCTGCAGGATATTTGCTGCCATGGAAAAAGATCATCGGTTGCTCTCCATTCTCTTCCGCAAAGCTAATCTGTATGAAGGTTTTCGTGTCGAGGAAATTATGACCGTATCGTCGCAATGGAATAATAGGAGGTGGCAATTCCAAGTCAGGAATACCATCAGCATCAATGCTCATTGGCATGGGGGCACTGCTTCCCATTATGGATCCAATAATTGGGACTGCGATGGCCTTCCCACCGGTAGGTGGCTGCGGAATCAAGGACAAGAGCCTCATACATTCGAGATATCCTTCCCATGCCGCATAATACATGGCGGAAAGATCTTTTTCGTCACGAACATGAGTCTCGACTCCGACATCCAGTAAAGTTTGCATACATGGTACATTTCCTTCACTAGCTGCGTGAAAGAGTGGTGTCCATGAGTAAAGTTTGTCGATTTGATTGAGATCCGCACCATAGCTCTTCAATAAAAGAAGTAATTGCGGTGTCTGACCAGATCGTGCAACAAGATGCTGGGGATATAGACCTTCAGCATCTGGAAGAATTTTGGCGCCGTGTTTAAGCAGAAGCTCGACGATTGCGATGGAGCCATTTTCGCAAGCCAGGTTTAAAGGCACATGATCTGCCTCGGATACCGGATCAATTCTGGCAGACCGTGCAAGTAACCTCTGAGCACATTCAATATGGCCATGAATAATTGCATGTATAAGAGGCGTGAAATTGTCGTGATCTATTAGATCAATGGTAGAATGATCCGCTGTAGTAGTAAGGTCATCAGCATTTGAAAATGAGGCATTTCAGGGACTAACATACCATTCAGCAACTCCTCCATCATATCAAGCCGACCATGCATACATGCATAATGCAATGGTACCCGCCCATATACGTCAGTTCGGCTAATCGTCACTCCCTTTGAAAGTCCAACGGTCAACACAAAACAGTTTCCGTAAATCGTAGCTTGATGGAGGCAATTGCGCTCATTTATATCATCTTCAGACTGTACATCAACCAAGCCAGTATCCAAAAGCAATTGCAATGATTGCTGGGGGCCTTCATTAATCGCTGCGAGGAATGTTCGAGTAATTCTTTCCATCAGTGCCAGATCCCTAGTACCGTTGGGGCCTGCTGCGGAATTCATACGTTGAAGAAGATCTTTCAAAGAATCAAGATTTCCGGAAATGACAGCTTCCAATAATAAGGTATCCGCATCGCCTTCATCAGTGCCTAATAAATGTTGACTGCTAACAATATGTTCTTGACTTCTTACAAAGTTATCATTATCGCCTTCGGACCAAGCTCCAAGCTCTTGTAAGCTTGTAGTGGCCTGATCAGATAATTCGCTGATAGCAGTTGCATCGAAAAATGGTTGTACTTCAACAGCTCTTGAAAGATAGAGCTCCTTCGTTTTTGATTTGGAAGTTTTGTCCCATTTTTTCAAGATCTTAGAAAATGCCATGCCATTGATCTCGACGAATTGTTGAAGCTTATTCAAATCATTGCCAAACTGTTGGAAGCCTTCTTCCAAAGTGGTGAATTTGGCAGATCTTCTTGAAGTATTTTGACTGCGGGATTGAAGAACCTTCTTCTTGTCCAGTAAAGTCTTCAGCCGAATTTTAAGCTGTTCTCAATAAGCAAATGGTTTTTTGACCCATTTTCGATGAATGACATACCTCAGCTTCCTTCTGAAGGTAAAAGGCATTGACTTTCTCTAGTTCCCGCTCCTGTTGGATATTCAGTACAGCTTGTGTTTGCAGAAAGGAGGTCAACGTACCAGTTGAAAGAAGAAGGTAGCCTTATTTGCTTGCAGCGCGGCCTGGGAATCAAGGACCGGGACCGAACGGTGAAGCTCATTTTGCGCAAGAATTATGGGAGTAGCAGAGAGCTTCTTGATGAGCTATTGTGGTGTTAGTCAGTGGTAAGAACTCTCTGATCAAACTACCGCAAGTGCCAGAAGCTCGAAGCTTATTACTTATCGCGCTTCACATTAAGAATTAGTTGAGACGAACCTTCTTCAAAGCCTTATAATTGACGAAACTAGCTGCATACTCGGGCACTTCGAGCTGCCTCTTTTGGATTTGCTTCCCAAACTTCCTATGCAGGGAAAGTTTAGTAGTTATGTCTTCAGGAGAGGGTGAAACGGCTTGAATCTGGGGTGAGACGTACATGATAGACTGCTTGCAGTCTTAAAGCCCTAAAGCAACGAAAACAGAACTGACTGGTAGAAGACGTAAGGTCTTTCCGGATCAAGGCTTGCAGGTGGCGGGAGGTCGATCAGATCACATGCAAATCATGACTATATCTCATGCAAAATGCTACATTCATAAGCCAACAAGAAATGACGTTGAGTATGTGTGGTGTTTGTAAGGTAGTAGATATGGAGATGATCAAACCCAAATGTTTCGGTATGTGATACACGTGGACCTGCACGATGGCTGTGGTGATCACCGTACCGTAGTGTTGCTTGCTACCCTGATATGATAGTAGGAGTTGGCTGGATGAGGAGGAGAAAAGATCCTAGTGGGTGGTGAAGAAACAACGTAAGTCGTACAAGAAAGTCTTCAAGTGTTGTGGTGTGAGTCTGCAAAGTTAATACCATGAAAACAATCCGCGAGATTAAGTAAGTAGTCCGTACATCGAATCGAAAATTGATGCAGGTTGGGGATGTCCAGTATTTAACGTTCTACTTTATTTTTTTCTCGGATTTCCCTTTAGAGCTCTCGAACAGAGAAGGGTTTGGCCAGAAAAGGACTAGTGAGGGGCAATAGTAACCAACACCCACAGTAAATGTCTAAGGATGCTTTTTCTTTTTCACCTGGTAGATCGTAGTAGCTGAGTCCCTGGGTGGTTATTAGTGTTGACACTTCTATGATCTTGGAATTGGATGTCGATCATGTTACTCTATCTCAACTATCAATGATTTCTTCGAAGTACGGGATCAATTTATAACGAAAGGGCTTTTTGATCGGGAAGAGTTGGCACTTTCTAACCAAGTTGATTGACTGATTGACTTGTTGTCGCTGCTTATCATCGCCTGCTTCGCCTGCTTCTGAGACTCCAGAGAACGGGGTAGCTACAGGAAAGTATCGGCAGGTACCGATCGATAGGTTTTCATTTCATGCAACGTTCGTACTCTCTACCTTTCACAGCCATTCGTGAGCTATTCCTAGCAAATCATTTACCCCACGTGCTAAAACGCAAGGCTCAAGAATGCTGAGCCGTTGTTGAAAGGTGGGGTGGGGTGAGGGGACGTCGACACTCAAATGTTGAATTGAATGATGAGACAACTTTAACAAGTCATGATTTATTTTAAATAGAATGTCACTGGGATGTGTCGACCATCGTCATCACTAAATCTCGAATCAACATACGGAGCAGGTGGGCACTTCTTAGGTAATAATATAGAAAA